GTGAGCATCTTTTATTCATTCCAGTGTCCCTCCTGGGACTGCACCCTGGAGCCTGGCACTGTATTTGACAGGTGGGCGGTGGAAGAGCACCCTTGACTGAAAGCAAGCAAGGAAGCTCCGAAGTTTGGGTTTTGCCACTCTTCATTCAGTACCAGGAACTGTCCAGGGAGCAGGTGAAAACGGTCTAAAGAGACCATACTTCCACCTGAAAGAAATACCTCCCATAACTGGAAGTGGAAACAAATGAACACGCTTCTAGAAAACGTCTTTCTCTTTTTTATGAACCAGCTTAAAAATAGCTTTACCTTTTCTGACTACTTCTGTGAACAAACAAGTTTGCTTCGGTGGCAGGTAGTGAGTGTTCGTCTAAGGTTTTATAATTATCATTGCCCTGTCACTTGATTTCTCAGCTTGAAATAAACTTGTTTTAGAGGTCCTTTTAAAATCATTTTGAATCTCCTGAGAATGAGGCCAGAGAGCTAAAAAATTAGCAGCATGGAAGAGGCAGCATTAGTTACTGGGAAGAGTTCATTGCTAAGATTCTAGCCTGGGCTCTGTCACTGCCACTCTGGATAACTGGAAATCAAATATTTCCAGACTCTGGAGCTCAGTTGCCCCATTTATAACATACTAGAGCTGAAATATCCTCTTCTCCAAGGATCTCCATAAGGGCTTTTCCCTGTTGAAAGTTACAGCTTTGATTTCCAGTGGGCGCTGTCCCATCTATAGACATGTGAATTATGTGATAAATGTAGAGGATATTATAGTATTAAAATGTACATATGAAAAACTCATTTAAAATTAGTATTCTTGATGAGTTATAATGAACATGGAGGGTGTTGAAGCACTTGGAGAACACATATAATTGGTAAAGACTTTTCTGTCCAGTTCTTAGTTATCACAATTTCACTTCTTTTCTTGGTCTTCTGCAGCCTTATCAAGTGGTGGTAAGGATAAACTATCTATAGTAAAAACTGAATTCAAATTCCCACCCCACAATTTACTGTTCTGTCATCTTGAATGTGTGCGGTATTCTCTGTTTGCTTCCCAAAGTCATTAAATGGAGACCACCTACATAGGTACCACTTACATATTTTGGGAAAATACATTTAGCAATAAATTAAATACTAGGAACACAATAGGTTCTCAAAAATTAGTTTTAATCTTGATTTTTATCATTTCACCAGGTAGTATTCCTTTAACTTGGTTTTATCTAAGATAGCAGTTTCAACAGTTTCTCTGGCTAAATGTAGATTTTCAGGATCTGGCCCAATATTACTTTTAAGAAACATTATTTCTCCAGGAAAAAAGAAACAAGAAGTCATCTTATAACGCCCAACAAGTACTTGAAGCAAAGTAGTTAATTCATTCTTTTGCGACATTTAGTTAAAAATAAAAAAGCCCCTGATTTAGACAGCTAATGAACTGATCAGAAAATACTTCAGCATGGGCATTCTATGGGGGCAGGCTTGAGGGGTGGTTGGGAAAATGGAGACAATGGTGGAAGGAAGGTTATAGTGGTGCTGGAATTGGTGTTGGAATACTGAATGCCTGAAACAAATCATCATGAACAACTTTGCAACCCATGGTGTTTAAATAAAGTGGGTGAAAAAATTAATAAATTGGCAAATGTCCATGTTGTTTATTGTAAGAATATGGCTAGACAAGCTCACATGGTCACGTATGCAAAGACACATCTATTACATGTGTGCATAGTGAGTATGTATTATAAAGATGTGTTGGGAAAAACTTAGCATGTTCCTGTTTACTCGTCATGTTGATCTACTTACAACTATAAACAGAATAGCCGTTGCAATAATATTTACACCTACTTGTTTATAAAAGATTACATATTCACAGTAGAGAGTGTAGAAAATAGAAAATATATTAATACTGCCCAGTGTCTCACTATTGTAAAACAAAATTTTTTCCTATTTTTGACATAGAGCTTGCTGTATACTTAAAATATCTTGTGAAAGAATGTATATAGCATCACTCTCTTCAACTGTTCAACACCTATCCTGAGTAGGGTCATGGGTCAGGAGTTATAAGGAAACTGGCCATTCAGTGATTTTCAACCTCTTTTCATCTGCGGACTACCACTGTTTTGCAGATGATGGTTGAACACTATTGTATCTCATACTCAAGCTGCAATAATTCTTAATATTTGATCTTTAAACTTTTTTTAATAGAGTATGCCTTTTTTGTTTTGTTAAGTTTAAAACCTTGAGGGCTTAACCCAACTAGGGGTACCAGGTGGTGTGGAGGGTCATGCTAGGGATTGAACTGGAATTGGCTGCATGGAAGGCATGCCCTCTTAACCTCTGTCTTGTCTCTTCAGATCCTAGAGTAACTTCTTAAGATACTCTAGCATTCTGGTACTTAGTTCCATGGAGAGAGATTTGTATATTAAGTTAAATGAGTAGCTTTTCTTTTTTTCAGTCTCCACAGAATATAAACACTCAAATCGATGTCAGGATAAATTTACAGTAGCATAATTAGTTGGGCAAAGTAAATAATATTTAAAGACTTATGTTTGTATTTCCAGCGTGCTCATCAACAAAGTTATAACAGTTATTCTCAAACCAGAAATGTAAAAACTATGCATTTCACATTTCCACAGGGAATTATTTAAAGTGAAATCCTTATCACCTTGAGGGATGAAAATTAGTATCTCATTATCATTTGTAATTAGCATTTATTTGACTCTTTGGTATTTCTTTCTTTAGAAACTGCCTGCTAATGCCCTTTGTCCACTTTTCTGAAAGTGCAAGCTTACCTATTTTTATTCATGCTCTATACAGAAAATTCAGACATCACTCAAGTGCTAAAGCCAACCTAAATTCTATTATGATGCAAAGTAATTGTAGGTTGTTAGTGCTATTTACAAATCATATATCAATTTTATTTCTCCACTGAAATAAAAAGTCGCATTCACAATTAAGTCTACCTCCTCAGTTGAACTCAGTCAAGTAAGACAAACACTCCTAAATTTTGACTCTAAAACTGTTCACATTCTTATTGCTGCAAAATACTACTCTAGTATCATTATGAAAGCACCCAATATATTTCCGTGTTCGCTTCATTTATTACATGCCATAATGGGACTGCATATCTTTAGTGCTGGTTATGCACAATTAGCACTTAGTTATTGTCTTGTCACTTCAGTCCCTACAAGACAAACTTCTTTAATGCAAGAAGTCAGCTCATCTTCATCAGTCAAGCAAAGCAGACAAATTTTGTTACTCCGAGTACAGGTTTTTCAATGCAGGAGCTTCTCAACAAAAAAGCCCTGGATCACAGGAGCCTGTGTTTTCACTAGTCATATCTTCGTCATCGTTTTGCACCATTTGGGGGAGTGTGGGGGGCACAACCTGTAGTTCTCAGGACTTACTCCTGGCTCTGCACTCCAGGATCACTCCTGGTGGGGCTCAGGAGACCCTATGGGGTGCGAGAGATTGAAAGGTAAATGCTCTACCCACTGTTCTACCACTCCGGTCCCAGTTCAGCACAATATTTCAAAGACAATACCACATTTTAATGTTTGGAAGGGGGAATGGTAAACTAGTGACAAAATAAAAATTGACATGGAAACAAAAATTTTTGAGAATTTGAACCTTGTGCTTGGATGTTTTAAAGTTCCTACCTGAGAAAGTACACTTTTGATCTACACGGGAAGAGAGGAAGTACAAAATCAGGATAACTGAGAAGCAAATAGGTTAAAAATAAAATATTATAGGCCAGGGAGATAGCACAGTGGGCGGGGCATCTGCCTTGCATGTGGCTGATCCAGGTTTCATCCCCGCAACCACATATGATATCCTGAGCACATCTGTGTGTGCCCTCGCCCTGCCAACCCCCCCCAAATACTCTAAAAATTAATTTCAAACCCCCAAATAATTCTATAGTGAATACATTATTACAAAATAAAAACTCTAGGTATATTTTTTCTTGCTTTCTTAGATGATTTCAAGAGATGTTGCATCTTTTTTTTCCTTTTTGGGTCACACCCTGCGATCCACAGGAGTTACTCCTGGCTCATGCACTCAGAAATTTCTCCTGGTGATGCTCAGGGGACCATATAGGATGCTAGGAATCGAACCCAGGTTGGCTACGTGGAAGGCAAATGCCTTACCTGCTATGCTATTGCTCCAGCCCCGATATTGCATCTTTTAATGTGAAAATCAAAACAAATCAGCAATTTTTAGGCACTTTCCATTAAACAAAAATACTGATTGCTGAATTTTTGATACTATTAAATACTTTGAATTTTATCTGGCAATTATTTCTTACTTCCAAAATAGGAGTAATAACCATATTTCTGGATTGCATGCTCCTAGTGTAAAGCCTCTCTGGATTTTTGTGAGGAGTATGGCTAAAACTGTATTAAAAATCCTGAATTAAAAATCTAAAAGCTGGACCAGAGAAAATTTATTTTGGGCATACTATACAATAACTTGAATTTCATTCTGAATAGAAAAATTCTGTGTAATAGGTTATAATAAATTAATATCTGAGTTATGAAGAAGACCCTTTTCTCTGCCCCTTAGAAATTCTATAAAACTAAATAATGGTTTTATGAGAAAAGGAACCCAAAATACAGGTTTATAATGAAATTGCCTCCAATATGTAGAACTGCATAACATTTCATTTTCTTTTGTTAAAGAATAAAGGACTGTGATAGGCTTGGTGGAAACAGATGTGGATAAAAATCTAGTTTCTCTCCTTGAGGTATCCAGAACTACGGGGGATGTGTGGTTAGAAGGTTGATGTCCTGGGTTTCAGAGCAGACCTTCTTAAACCTGACCTTCTACAGGGCTGTCTGGTGAGAATGGAGAGATGAGGGAAAAGTTTTCTGGACATATGGAGCATTGTGCTGGGCTGGGACGTGTGAAATTATTCGCTGAGCTCAGGAAATGAGAAGAAACTCTGTGTTCTCAGTGATGACAGGAAATTTGTGAGGGGGTGTGGAGTAAGGAAATTAGAAAGAGGGAAAGAAG